AAAAGTAGATAAATATTAACCAAATTTTTTTGAACAAATTGAAATTATTTACATATATTAATTAGGGAAGGAAAAAGGAAGTTCGTGAGATTCGAACACATCACCCACAAAAGATAAACCGCTTTAACTCAAGGTTCATGTCACTAGACCGAAATGAGCTGTTTAGATAAATATTAAATATTTAACATGAAAAAGATGAGTAAAGAAAATTTTATATAAATAATACCGTGAAGAGTATATGCCAGTGAATCTGTCTCATTCTTTTGTTTTTATGTCTCAAGATTTTTTTTTTTTTCTTTTATCAAGGGGCAGCGCTTAGCACTGAATTAACCATGTCTCTAGATCTATTTGCATGAAAAAGAAATGCAAGGGGCCAAGCGGAAAGATATCAATCGTCAAAAAGAGAGACAAATCAAGGGGTTTCTGCGTTTGTTTTTAGCAATTTATTGACTTTGGAGGAGTGAAAGTGAGCAGCTCTGACGCTCTGATACTAATCTCTTTGCTTTTGGGTATTTTTTGGTACATACTGCTTTTGGGTATTTTTAAAGGGCATTTGTTGGCTGTGACGAAGGAGACAGCTATGGCAAAACTTAGTCTGGGAATCTTTTTTTTTTTTTTTTAGGGAGTTAGTAGAGTTAATAATTAGCAACTGGGATTTTCCATAATAGTGAACATTTCACCCCTCAAATGAGGCGCGCGACCATTAAATCGCAAGTTGGTGGAGTTCATGCCAAGGTTCAAAACTCTGACCTCCCGCCTCACCCAAACCCTAAGGCTTGAGGACCAACCATTGGGCCACAAGCCCGGTTGGCCTGGGAATCCTTATAGATATTGTTGATGAGGAATGGATGAGGGACACTCTACCCAATGATGGTATTATTTATTTTAAAAGCTGAATGTACGTTGCATATATTGGTGTTGACCTCTTAAGTGCAAATTGACTATTATATTGGCTGGTCCTTCCATGTTATTCATAAGATCTGTCCATGTGTTCTGGTATCCTAGATAGATGCATTTTCTATGCTACCCATATTTATCTATACTATCACAGTATCACTACTAAAGTATGTGGGTTAGGGTTCCATCTCAGTGGTGGTGTCTTAGGAAGGGATAACTGGAAACAGTTCTATTTTTTAACATTTTTGTTGTTTGGCGGTCCTTATGATTTGTAGTGTTTTTCGTTTAGCAATCCCATATTGGTTATCCTGCTTGGTGGGGTGAAAGGACACTGATGTTTTAATATTTTGCTCAATTAATACTGATCTTCCTTTGCCACTGGTGCTGGTTAGTTGGACTGATGATGCTGAAGACCCATGTATGGCTAACATTTTCTGATTATATTTCTATAAGAGTAATATTATACTGAAAAGGTATCCATATTTTTCATTGTGTTGATTATCTCTCCTCCGGTCTGTGTTAAATGAAGTAAAAGGTTTTATATGCATGTAAAAAAGTTATGAGATTGTCTTTCAATATTTTGTGATTAAGAATAAGAACTCTGTATATACCTCCCCATTACATAACCCTTGTCTTTTCTCCCAATTTTTTCCATTTATTTATGTTGTTCTTTTTCTTCATATTTAATTTGGAATTTTCTTAATTTTCAGATCAATAGAATCAACAAGTGGATGAAGACACTTGGCATTATCTTGCGTTAGGTACTCAGTAAGGCTTCACATTAGCAGTACTCGGAACCTTGGTATTTTGAGTTGCAAAATTTATAAAAATTAAAACTAAAAATCCAAAATCACTAACATACAAAACGGAGTCTAAGCATTTAAGTAGTGTCAATTATAATTAAAGAAAAAACGATAAAAATTGGATTAGAGGCAAACCGCGGCAGGCCTAATCACTCTAGGCGGAGCCAAACGCCTAGTTCCACCAAAGGGAATTTATTTAAGCATATGTTGTAATGCAGTATTTCAAGCATGGGAAACAATCTTTTTAGTAAGCAGACAAGGCTAATATTTAATAAGCAATAAGCAAACTTCTTTATTATATAAATTGAGCTATAAGCAAACTTCTTTATTATATAAATTGAGCTATAAGCAACCTCTTATTACAACCTCTTATTAAGTGGTAAATGAGGTATCATGTGGAATCAATAATCAAATTGAGGGATAGCACTCAAACACAATCCAGACAAGCAAGTATTGAAACATGACTAGTTTAAGTCTTCCCTAACTGTTATTTTTTTCCTTCAGAAGTGAGACTGGAGATACTTAACGACATTCTTGTCCAGCATGAAGGCCTTAGTAAGAACATTAGGATCAATGGGTGGATTTGATCCGAAAACAGAATTTGCAATTGTGATTGTGCCTGGATTTTGGCTACTTAAACCAGAAAAGGCAACAGCAGGAGTTTCCCCTATATTGAGCTGGGAGTGAATCAAACCAATAGGGAAACAAAAACATCACCTTTGTTCAGCACTTTGGTGAAGAGATGGTTACCATCTTGATTAGATGAGACAAAGCCAACAAATAGTGTGCCTTCTTTGACTACTAGAGTCTCAGTTCCACGACCACGAGGATGAGTGTGGGGAGGATTAAGACCACCATTAGGTGCAAAGTCAATACGTGCTAGGGATACACCAAGAGTGTTAAGCCCTAGAAGTTGTTCAACAAATGACTGAGTGACAGCTGAGCCAACCGCATTGCATGTGTTTCTTGGTTTGTCAAACCCTGAATGGAAGAAGTCGTTTGCTACAACAAGCTTTGGGTCCTTGCAGAACTTCCCATTTACAAACACTGCACCAAAGATGTGTTATTGGAAAGAATGCCAACCAAAATATATATAATACACTTTTAAATGAAGTTTCTACAAAATGCAGTGTCAAAAAAGGAAGGCAAACCACCAGTCTTGGTGTCATTGATGGCTACGCAGAAGTCTTGGAGATAAGCACTTTTCATTCTTATGAGGCTGTTGCTGCCTTAAATTCTTCGAAGTTTCTTCGTGAGAGATGAGAAACCCTTCAAGGAAACAAATGTATTTATAGGCATAAGAGTTGAAGTCGTCTGTGGTGTTTTGTCTCCTTCTTCAAGAGGCAGATGTAAGACTTACCAAGTCTTCGGTGGTTATCTAAGTTTTCTTCCTATACTTTCCCCAGTTCATTATTCTAATTCATGGGTTTGCTTTGATATTCAATAGTGATTAGAGGTTTTGGTGGTTAAGTTGTTTTAAGTTTCATACTTGCTGAAAGTTGTGTGCTTTTTATCCATTTTACCTGTGATCTGATGGATGAATCTGAAGAAAGTTCATTCCTTTTTCAGTTTTAGCTAATGTTTCATTTCTGTTGTAATGGTTGAAACCTGAAAGTTGTGCATCGTATAAGTGTTACTAAGCTACTAACTCCTTTATTTCTTGAGTCATTTGTTGTTATGGCATTTGATGATCGTGGCTTGGATTCTAATGGTTCCCAACTTAAAAGTAATCTAAGTATTGGAGCTGAGGAATCAAAACCTTTTACAGAGGAGACGACAAAGTCACATGTAAATGTAGAGAGGCATGTTCCTGAAGAATTTGGAACGAGTGAGCCAGTTTTGGAGCAGGGTGTGTTACCCAACAAAAAAGAGCAGCAAAAATCCATGATT